TTCATGAAAGAAATTTAAAACCACAATGAGATTACTATCTGATATACAGTAAATATATACTGAATAACCTAAATTAGATAAACCAGCAACATATGAACACTAGGAAGAAATGAGAGTATTTGAAATTCACATACATTGCTTGTTGGTATAATACATAAAATGGTTCAGTTACTTTGGTAAATAACTTAGAAGCTTCTATAAAGGTAACATACATCTACTTCATGGCTTAGAAATTAAGTCTCAATCCAAAAAATGGAGAACCCATTAGTAATAGCTAAGAAGGTGGAAATTATCCAAATGGAGGTCAAGAAAATAGATTCACAAACTGAGTCTAGCAATGTAATGGAATACTACAGAGCAGTCAAGAAGAATTATATATATATATATATAATACCTACCCTACAACTACGCTCACATGAAGCTCAGGAATGGAACTAGAGTGATGGGATGCCAGTGAGGGTGGAAACGACTGTACAGAAGTACACAAGACCTCCAGGTAACAGCACTGTTCTGTCCTGACTGGGATTTGGTTTTGTAAATCCCCTTAATATCAGTGTGCCCTCCCACAGCTGATACCAGCAACATGTCAGAGGAGTTCAAGGACCGATTATTTGTATTCGCTTTCCCCATCTTCACAGCATCCATGAAAATCAGGGATGAGGATAATGAGCATGGGCTTGGAGACTCCTACACAAGGAAGAAGTGGAGAAGTATCTCACAGAACAGCAGCAGTGCTATGAGGGCCTACGCTTGCCAAGAACAAGTGCCACCAAAGGAACAGAATGGGAGACTCTTTGAGGAGCACCATACCAAAGGACAGGGAAGAAGATGAACAGCAGAACTTAGCCATGTTTTTATTTTATTGAGATCAGGAACAACTACCATTTATTTTATAATTACTAAGTTGGACATTTGTTTTGTTTTGAGACAGGGTCTCCCTCTAGGCCTACCTATCCTGAAACTTGCTATGTAGAACAGGCTGGCTTCAACTTCAGAGAAGCTCCACCTGCCTCTGCCTCCCAAGTGCTTGGGATTAAGGGTGTGTGCCACCATGTCTGGCTACGTTGGATGTTTTAACTTTTCAGCAATTAATCTGGATGAGCCTTCATCTGTTAAATCATCAACTCATGGTTTCCTCCAATCAGGTAATTCTAAAAGGTAGTTTTCCAAAATCCCAGGGCCCACTGCAATCCCTGTGCCCCATCAAATCTTTTCCCTGACTAAATGCTGGACACAACTGTTTGGATCTTGATGCCCCCAAAGGCTCAAGTGCTGAGGGCTTGGTCTTCAGTACTTGACAATCTGATGCAGTAAAACCTGTAGGGGGTGGTGCCTAGCAGAAGGAAATTAGGTCACTGGGGGTGAGCCCTTCAAAGTACACTAAGACTCCTCTTTCATTTCCTAGCCACCATGAGGCAACACATCATTCAGCATACACTCCACAATCATGTGCTGCTTCAACATAGACCCAAAACAAGAAGCCAATAGACTGTGAACTAAAACCAGGAGTCCAGAACCTGTTCCTTCCTCATCAGTTGATTATCTCAAATATTGTCACAGTTAAGCTGATCAACCAATCTGGCTAAACTGACCTAACTGCTCAGATATACTTCTGACAAGTCAACTAATAAAAGGATTCCCACTTACAGATGGTGATCTGAGCACAGGAGAGATCTTGCTACACTTATTAAAAGATATCTAATTACCTTTCCATAGGTGTCTGAAGGGTGAAGTGGTGTCCAACATTCTAAGCAGAGGCTGCTCACATCCTGGACAGTCTGAGGCACTGCTACTGTGGAGGAGGACAGGTGACTTTATTCAGAACCCCAGTATGACTCTAAGTTCAAAGAAAGGAAGTGCTTATGGGACAGATGTGATATAAAGGGTAGAAAGGAGGTAAGGCCAAGTCTGGCTGGTAGAATTATCCCTTCCACACCTCCTTTCTGTGCTTATAATAAAGCACAGACCTCTAGGCCCCAGGCAAAATGAAAACAGGGAGAAGGCTCTCCAAGCTGCTTAAGCTAACGCCTGACGACTAAGCCACAGCCCCAAACTTAGCAGTTCCCTGACAAAAGAGCTCTGGGAGGCCCAGGACCACTCACATACAGCCCACCCAGGGGAAGAGGCACCCTCCACCACACAGAGAGTCTAGTTGGCATCTTAGCACAACCCACCTAAAGAAATCTACACTTCAAAAGACTGCAATATATAAAGAGGGAATCAAGATAAACAACACAAAGACCCTGGGAACCACAAAATTCAAGACAGCAAAGAACCTACTTTCTAAAATGAAAAAAACAAAAGCTTTCACTAGTAATCTGAAAAGTATTTGAGAAACAATAATTATATCTACATGGTAACAATAAATAAAAGGCTTATGAAATGAAAATCCCAGCAGTCCACAAAACAAGCACTAGCAAACACTATGTGCGTGTGCTGGGCTGATGTCACAGCTGCGACTGATTATTTCATTCCACTACGTGGACAGTAGCTTACCTACAGAGCTAGGTTACACAGGATCGTCCACAGCTCAGAACAGCACACGCAGAACAGGTGCACAGTAAGGAGACAGACACACAATGTCCCACTGTTCTAGAAAACCTGTGACAATTTTTAACTCCTGGGCAAGTTTACACTGTGACGTGGAGACTTCCCTCAATACCTGTATTTCCTTTCTTGCAGAAAGGGAACACCCCAAACAAAGGTCATGTTTCCAGAGTACTGGGAAGGAATAACATACACAGACCCCCAAGAGCTAATGGGAAGACTCCAAAAATACTACAATAGTTGTCAGGCACATGCGAAACCTTCCTCAAAGAATGTCATGGAGAAGATAAACATCTCTCCCCCTGTGTGGTTAGTATACTGGCCTTCCTTAAGGAACAAAGAGCAATCAGATCACTGGTTCAAAACACTACTCATCACGGAGCCTTCTTTTCAAAAGTCTGTGTGCGCGTTCATGTGCGCATTGGCACACGTGTGCACGTCAAAGAACAACCTAGGGTGCAGGTCTCCACCTTCCACCTTGCCTGAGACAATAGTTTTTTGTTATTTGCCACTGCATATGCCAGGCTAGCTTCCTGGGACTCTCCTGTCTCCACTCCCCATCTCACTGTAGAGGTACTGGGATTACAGATGTGAACTACCATGCCTGGTTTTATGTGGATTCTGGAGATCAAACTCAGGTCTTCCCACTTGCATGGCAAGCACTTAACCCACTGAACCATCACCTCAGCCCTCAAAGTCCAATTTTTATTTAAAAATAAAAATCCTGTGATGTGCTATTATTCCAAAATAAAATTCAATAATATTAAGTAGTGTGCACACAGTTTTTACAAAGTCAAAGGCAGAGCTGGAGAGATTGCTCAGTGGTTAAGAACACACACACACCCACACACACACACACACACACACACAACTTTAAAAATATTTTTAAAAGCCAAAACCAATACCTTAAATGTATCATAAAGGAGAAACAGAGAGAAAAGCAATGCATAATTAGAAACAGCATTTCAATACAGAAATAATTTCCAGATTTGACTGATCTATACAGTAAGCAGGCACTTAAAACTTACTTGGTTTTAAAAAGTGAGGTGAGGGCCAGCAAGATTGATCAGCAAGTTAAGGACATTTACTGCCAAGCCTAATGATAGAAGTTCAATCCCCCCAGGACCCACATGGTGGAAAAAGAACACCGATTCCCACAAATGGTTCTTTGACCTCCACACACACACACACAACAACATACACATGCCCATACATATGTACAATAAATAAAAGTAATAAAAAATGTGTTTTTATAAGAAAATGGAACTAAATCTAAGTTCAGAAAATTACAGACCAATTTATCACTACATAAACGCCCAACGAAACAGATGAAACTCATGTGGGATGTTTCCTGAGAACCTTGGCAAGGTGACCTCTGGGCTTTTGCTCTAGCCTTTATGTTCAATCACATTAAGAATAGGTACCTGAAAGGCCAATCATCAACAGATCTTGGAAGTATTAGTTTAATATGGAAAATGGCCATGAAGAAGCTAGTTTAGACTTATGTCATTTATTAAATCTACAGTCAATACCATTTGTTCTTTCTGAACTCAATCAGTTGCTCCAAACAGAAGATGGAGTGCTCCCTCCTCCCCTTCCTTCCTCCCCACCCCCACCCCCTGTGTCACTTACTGAGCAAGTACAAAGTGATTCTAATTTGAAATTTTTAAGATTCAAATCTGGTTAATTAATGACAAAAGGGAGTTTTCCACAGAACTCTACAACTCTCATTTCCTCAAAACAAGAATTAGTGCATTCTTTCACATGTGGCCAGTACAGGAAGGGGGGAGCCATTTACTGTAAATGCCTTTCTGATGCAACCCAACCACCTCCTTCAAAGAGAGAATTCATCCAAGAAGCCTTAGTCACATTCTAGAAAAATGCCACTATTCTGAATGTACACAGACCAAACCACATGCCTGAGGAGAAAAGATGAGTTGGTTCCAACAGAGAACAGATCAACAGATAGGGAGAGCGATCCTGGCTTCATCAGCGCAGACCCAACAACCCAGCAGTATCTCAGAAGTCAGCCTTTGAGACAGCAGCATCTGAGAGATGTGTTACCATCCTGGGTTCATAAATCAAATGCAGCAGATTTCCCTTCAGCTCGCTTTGAAATACACACTTCCTAAAAACCCAAGACCTCAGTTCTAAACCAGGAACCTAGGCATAATTAGTATCTTAGCAACTGTGGTTATTTAATTTAAAAAATTTCAGATGCAGAAAGAAAAGCGGAATCCTGTAATTTAAAATTTGAAACTGAAAGCTTGACTTGAAGAGGGTGGATTGCACACGAACAGAGGGAAACAGTGGGAAACATTCTAAAGCGGTTGGGTAGAAAGTTTAGGAGAAGCACTTTTGAGTCCTTCGGAAAGAAGAATTAATTTGTCTGAAATCTCAAATCCAAGACAAGGGGAGGGGGGATGGGGAGGATTTCTCCAGTTTCTGCTTACCTAGGACGTGGTGAGTTCTCAGAGCCAGGTGTATGCGCTTGGTTTTCTGGCAGGGTCAAGGAAGACTAAGGCTAAGTTTGGATCGATCACCTTGCTGAAATGGAACCACACAGGGTAATATATGCGGTCTGAGCAAGCCATTGGCTAAGGGAGGGCAAGGCGTGTGTAAGTCTGATTTGCCAACCTTCAGGGTAAACCTCTCACAGCCCATTTCAGGAGAGACGCAGGATGCACTGCGCCCCAGAAGAGTCAAAGCTAGACGGGGTTCGTTGTTCCTGCGGCACTCTGCCCAGCCCAGCGGAAACCACAAGGAGACCCAACCACAGCGAGATCTGGCTCCTCCACCAGGCGACGCCAGTGCAAAAGAATTATGATGTTGACACCAGCAATTTACAGATGAATCTCTCCCTGCTGCCAGAGCTCGACTGTGTTACATGATGGCTGGAGTTAGAAGTTAGGTGCATCATGCCCCACATACACTTGAGCCAAGGCTCCGTGGAGGTGGCAACTTCCACCAAGGTGTGGTAAAAAAAAGTTTTTTTTTAATTCTTTCTTCTTTATTTATTTATTTTTATAGGGCTTTGGGCTACTCTAACACTCCCCCCTCTGAAGAGGTAACCCTAAAATCTTTTAAGGATTAGTTAGAGACAAGCTCCCAAATATTTTTGACATTTTTGGCCTTTGGAACAGAGTATATTGCTATGAGGCCCAAGGACATTTTGAATTTTAGCCAAGAAACTGGCTACTTTTCTTTGGGATCTTTTTACCCTAACTGCCTAGCCAATTCCTACCTCCGATTCTTATCACAACATCCTCTGAAGAGGTTACCCAGTTTGCGGATAGTGACTCGGGACGCAGCGGAGTGATAAAAATTTTATAAAAGAAATGTTGACTTTGTGTTATCCTGGTGATTGACCAAGGGATAAGACCTACCTTAGAAAAGCTAAGAATGATGGGGCAATGGGACAGATGATGCTTTTGTAACAAAATTTTCAACATGTCCTTGAAACATCCACATTAAAATTGGCTAGGTGGAGCTCAGAATGCTAGGCTGTTCTTGGATTCCTTAAAGGTTAAAGACCACTTTTTCTGCCTCTGTAACTGAATGGCTTATTACAGACACTTCCATCTTTCCTTATTAGTCAATGACTTCTCTCTGCTTTCTGTCACGAGGACAATTCCAGTTACAGCAGCTCAAACTCCAGGAAAAGGAGAGTCAGGCTGGTTTACTTTCACCCCTTCCCCACACTACAGAGATAAAATGCAAGCTGATGTAATTTGGGGGGGAAAAAACCCTGCATAATTTTTGTTGCAACGGAGTCTCACTACGTAGACCTGGTTGGCCTGAAACTTACTATATAGAGCAGGCTGGCTTCAAACTCACAAAGATCCACTTGCTTCTGCATCCTGAGTGCTGAGATTACAGGAATGCACCACTAGGCCAGCAAAAATGCAGAATTTGAGAGTGAATCTGAACACTGTATTAGAAGATGCTGTTGAAACGAAAGGCATACCACTCAAAAGGGGTGGGGGATAAGAGGGAAGTCTGGTAAAGCTTAGTGGCTCCACCAAGCCCCAGGCTCTGCATCAAGGACTTTATACAAATGAACTTAATTTTTAAAAAAGTACAAACTTACCAATTTAGGCCTCTAACCCTGGAAACGGACACAGAGCAAGGCATTCCTACAGGGTCAGCATTAGCGCTAAGCACCTAATCCATTCCCAGCTCCTGGGGCATAAAGGACTCTTAAAGATGAAACTGAGAAACTCCCTTGGACATTTATTTAAAATGACATCACTCTACCTGTTTTTTGCCCTTGTCCTTCCTTGCTTTGCCTGCACTCTGTGGCTTTTCTGAAACCCAATTTTCCATCATCTCGCCTCCATTTTAACCAGTTTGTTTCAGTCTAAAATGCTGGAGAAACCTCATCTTTACAGATACAGTAATGTTTGAAATGTGAACTATGAAAACATTTTCCTTCCATAACTCTTCCAAGAGTTTTTCTACCATTATCTTCTATGTAGTTTTCCACAGGAACTTTCTGGATGGGGAGGCCGACTTAGTAAATAGTATATTTATGAATAAGTCCTTCGACTGCTCATCTTTGTTTCAGGGTCATTACCTACTGTGACATCCTAACACAAACAGGAAGGAAGCAGATACTTAACTCTCAATGTCAGCTAATCTAGTCAATGTTTGGGGTTACCAGTATTTTGTCTAATAGCAAAATCAGGCTGTCAGAGCAGAGGTTCTTGTAATCTGTATTAGCACCCTATTATTTCCCAAATAACATCTTAGGTGAAGACCCATTACACTTCTTAGGTGAAGGTGTCAGCAGAGTGCCTGCAATTGCTGCAGTGGGTTAGGGGACACAAAGCCCTCTACACATTTGGCCCCACTCCCATTAATACATCTCATCCCTCAGGCAGTACCACTAAACCCTACTGATGTTTCTTTAAATTTATACTTTTATCTTTATTCTATGTATGCCTTTGTGTCTCAAACTTGGGTGTGTAGGAGTTGTGTGTGTATGAGCATGCAAAGCCTTGTCAAGTCAAACCTCAAACATACGACCTGCTACACTGAGTTTCAGACTTTATTACACACCTGGTAGGAATGGATCCCAATATGGAACGAGGTACCTCTACCTGTGTCTTTGCCTCATATTGTATGTCTCTGCTAGCATACTGACAAGCTCAAGGTCATTTTAAAAACAGACAATTTTGTCAAGACATGTTTCAAAAAAAAAAATCAATGAAACTACTATTCTGATGTATAGGATTCCATGTCACACTTTTTGCTGGTATAAAACTCCACCCTGTGGGGCTGGAGAGATGGCTCAGCGTTTAACAACATGTTCTTGCAGAAGACCCGGGTTCAAATCCTAGAACCCACATGGCAGTTAACAATTGTCCGTAACTCCAGTTCCAGGGGATCCAACAGCCTCTTCTGTCTTTTGCACTGATTGCATGACACAGGTGCACTTACCTACATGCAGGCAATACATGCATACACATAAAATAAAAATAATAAAATATTTTAAAAATTTCACCCTTTGTAACAAACAGCCTTTTTGTCAACGACAGACCCCTTACACTACAGCAGACCCACAGAGTACTATTGCTCAGGGATGCTACCTTCATTCATTTTAACTACATGTTGTTTACTCAATGATGCAATCACCTGACATCATTTTCAAGCGGTCTTCCTGTTCTTAACTAGTACATGTGGCTTGACACTTATAGTACCATGTACAGCAAGCTCATGCGTACACACCTGAGACTCAAAAGGAGAATGGAATTTAAAGCAATGCTGGATAATCATTACCAATGACTCTTAATACCATGTCAGTATAGAGAACAAAGACTGAATGCCTTCACCAACAGATGGTCATTTATAAAGTTCTGCTAACATGAAAACGTAATAGTCCTTTCATTCTGAAGTGCTATTTTCCAGTCTTAAAAAAAGGTGTGTTTCAGACTTTCTTTTCCCCCTAGAGATAAGAATTATACAATCTGGTAGTCTTTTAGATAGACCCACTGAAGGGGTACTCCAGTTGCTTCACCCTGCGTCCCTGTTCAGCATGGAAGAAGCCAGAGCAGTCTGCATCCCAATTCTCTATTGGCAATTTGGGTAACCTCTTCAGAGGATGGTGTGATAAGAATAGGAGATAGGAACTAGCCAGGCAGTTAGGGCAAAAAAGCCCCAAAGAAAAATAGCCAGTTTCTTGGCTAAAACTCACATATGTCCTTCCTTGGGCCTCTTAACAACATATTCCATTCCAAAGGCCAAAAATGTCAGAAGTATTTGGGAGCTTTTATCTAATCCTTCAAAGATTTCAGGGTTACCTCTTCAGAGCGTGGGGGAGTGTTAGAGTAGCAAAAAGCCCCATTTAAAAAAAAAAAATCAAAGAAGGAGTACATGAAGTTATCAGAAAAAAGTGATGGGGAGATATGGGAGGAGTTGGAAGGGAGGGAGTGGGCATGGATTTGATCAAAACATCTTACATGCATGTATGAAATTCAAAATAAATTATTAAAAAAAAAAGATTTGTCACACCTGACAAAGCTGTGGCATTTCAAGTGTATTTGAGAAAAAAAAATGAACAGAGGGAGGGAGGGGGCCTGGCTGTCTCAGAATACAGGTAGTACTTAAAATCAGCAGGGAACTTTACAAGCATGTGGTAGAAACACGCACAAAAGGTATTAAAGGGTCCACATGTCCAAATTCATGTGTAATCATCATTTTCAGCATATTATGAATTTTCCTATGATTTTTAGTTTTGTCTTAAAATTAATTATGGAAGCACTCTAGCACTATCTGCAGCATTTTAAAATAGCTCCTGCTCACATAACCACAGGATATGCTGAGACCCTCAGTGGATGCCCGAGAGCTCAGTAAGCACAGAATCCCATGCACACGCTGTATTTTCTTCTATACATACACACCTACAGTGAAGTTTTACTTATAAATTAGTACAGTAAGAGATTAATAACCAATGGTAAAAAATAGATTATCACTATATTCTAGAATTAAAGTTACGTGAATGCAGTCTCTTTATTTCTGGAACTTTCCATGCAATATTTTCACACTGTGGTTGATGGCAGGTAACTGAAATCAAGGAAAGAGAAATTAGGGAAGGGGAAACTACTGTATGTTAACCACTTTTTGGAAGTATGGTTAAGAGAAATAAAGGCAATGAAGTTCTCAATTACTCAGGGACACTTTCAAAAGCATTGTTACATTCTCCTTTAGGACTGGAGTTACTCCTCCCATAGGAATAGTATGTTAATGACAGTAAATATTCAGATCATTCCACAGAGCTGATTTCACTCACGTGTAATGCTGTGTAATGCTATGTGTGTGTGAAATAATGTGTGAAGTGGCAGGCATGTATCCATACTGCAATGCTGGTATTGCAGGAGAAATAACAATGCGAAGAGCGGCCTTTTAGTTATCTGCATGCAAGTGTAAGGTGGTCGTGAGGCTGGACTATGGGTTAAGGCCTGACAGCTTTCAGAGTCGGTGAAGCTGTGAATGATGCCTTATCAGACCTTGGTAACCACAGTGATTTTTCTCCCTTGATGTGACTACATTCCTGCTCTTGAACTTACTGTGGTTGGGATGGGCCCTCCAAACTGAATATACAGGGAAGAAAGCAAGCAGGCTTACAGAAAGACAAACTGTGTGCAGCTACTTAATATTATGGAATTGACCTGACTATGGTTTTAAAAAAGCAGCAGGAAGAGATGGGAATGCAATGATCAAATTTGCTCAGGTTCAACAGAAAGATATCAGGTCGGATATGTGCCCCAAACTAGGAGAACCAGTCTGCTGGACAAGGAGAAAGGCTGACCAAAGGCAGGTGGTGTGTGACTAGCCACGTGTGTAACCAGGATGTGTGCAAAGCAAACGTCTACAATCTGGGAAGGCTTTTGTGTGATAAACTTGCTAAGAAACTGGTTGTCAGTCTTCCAGAGAAGTAGTTGTTTGGTCTGAGTCTCGTGACTCAGATGGTGAGAACTCAGGGGCAAGGTTCAAAACTGTGCCAGTGTGTGGTTAGCCTTATGTTGTCCAAGCATGAGCAACAGAATGAGCTTCCCACAGGCACAGAGCTGGCCAAGCCAGAGCCCCATGCAGCCCAGCTGAGCAGCCAATCTGCAGAGCTCTGCCCTTTGATAAAGGCGACCCAGTGCATGAGACCCTAAATTCATATTTAACTGGGGAGGGAGTTAGGTACCACAACCTGAAAACATAGTTAACTTTAAAATACATATGCAAAATGATTATCAGATCCCATTTTATCATTCTTTTGCATTTTTAATGTTATAAATTTGCCAAAAGTGAATTAACTACAGTAGTATTTGAAGGTTGTTTCATAAACTTTGGCTAATACATTGGAAAAACAAGAAGAACTAAATTAAAAACCCCAAGTGTGTGTGTGTGTGTGTGTGTGTGTGTGTGTGTGTGTGTGTGTGGCAGGTTTTCAGTTCCACCAGCAGGGGGATTTGAGAGCGACAGCAAAGGCAGGCATTTTATACCACCACTGAAGGTTCCCTGCTCTTTCTGCTCTTGCTAACACTGAGACTTGCCTGTGGGCTGATACACTGTTTGTGAAGCTGCACAGTAACGTATTTGTGCTATAGGCTGCATTTTAAGAAAACAGAAACAATAGAAAACAAAAAAATGAGAGTATCACAGTTACTGTAATTACATTTATATGTGGTACATATTTTTTTATGCTGTTAAAACCTAATCCTCTCTGGGGAAAAAAGAAGATTTATTATGAAAGAAGGTTAAAAATTGTGGTTGAGGACTGGAGAGATGGCTCAGTGGTTAAGAACACTGACTGTTATTGCAGAGGACCCGGGTTCAAATCCCAGAACTCCAGTTCCAGGGGATCCAACAGCCTCTTCTGTCCTCTGTGGGCACTGCACAACATGGGTACACTTACCTACATGCAGGCATAACACTCATACATATAAAATAAAAATAATAAATAAAAATATTGAAAAAAATTGTGTTTCAGGGTCTGGAGAGATGGCTCAGTTATTAACAGCACTGGCTGCTCTTGCAGAGGACCAGGGTTGAGTTCCCAGCACCCACATGGCAGTTCACAAGAGACTATAACTCCATTTCCAGAGGATCTAATATCCTCCCTGGCCTCTTCAGGCACCAGGCACCCATGTGGTGCACTTACATCTAGGCAGAACACTGGTACACATAAATACAACTATGTTTGAAACGAAGTAGGTGGATCACGTGTAGATTTAATTTTAATTGGATCCATGCCATCTGTTCTTTTTTTAGGAACTAACCTACAAACCAAGATGCATGTCCATTCTACTAAGCAATAATTCTACAGATCTCCTGTAAGTCATTATTCAGTCATCTACCCTGGTTAGTATCTATTCTCCCTTGAGGGGTTAAAGAGGATGAAGTTTAATCAAAACAAAACAAAACAAAAAACCAAAAACCAACAACATAAATCTACACCCAAATCCATTAAATAGGATTAATGACTAATTATTAAGTAGGATTAAATTACAGCAATAGTTATCACACAGCGAGTGCTTATCTGTGCCTAAGAGTGTTCGACATCCTGTACACCATTAGCTCCTTGATCCTCTCAATAATCCCATAAAGTAGATTCTAAGCATTATCTGTTTTACAGATAAAGAATCCAAGAAATTAAGTCAGTTGCCTGAAAGGCATAGTAGTATAGGGCACAGTAAGTCTGGCCCTGGGCCCTGCTCTTAACTGCACAGTATCTTTGGTTTGGTACCACAATTACACCAACCCTGGGAGGAGGGAAGCCTGAGCTCCAAGGGCAGAGACTATGGATCTAGCCTCACTTCTCCCGCTGCACCTACAATTTCTCTTCTACCCGGCCTGATGCACAGTGAGCACGTTTCCCAGGAAATCAGTTCAAGCCCTCCTTTCTCCCTGCCATAGAAGACATACTAAAATGTGAGTGGGCTTCTACCTTTGTGTAGTTAGTGTAAGGAATTGGTTGCAGTGTTGGTCCTTCCTTAACTTTTAGTATTAACCAATCATCTCCAGCATCTTTTCCAGGTTGCATCTCCTCACGTCTGTACAGCTGCCGCTGAGGTGACAGGCCATCATGACCATCCATCCAGAGTTCCAGGAGTGGTTCAGTCTTTGTGCCTGCTGCCTGTGTTGGTTTCAAACAACTCCAACGGAAGGTCAGGCCTACTACTGCGACAAGTTAAAACATCAACACTAATGTCGGCAGCCTGAGTCCTAGGAATTAGGTCGCTGAGTAAGAGTTTACTGTCCAAACTGTAAATTGTAGAAGTAAATGTTCAAACTGCCATTTAAATGTCTTTATAGTGGGGATGTGAAATGTTCTCCTACAGGTTCATGTTTGAACACTTGGTGAACAATGTTGCTTTGGGAAGGTGTGGCACCTTTAGGAGGTGGAGGGAGTGGGCTGTTGAGAGTGGGCCTTGGAGGTTACAGCCTTACCCTCCCTTCTAATTGGCCTGCTGTGTTGCCTGATCCAGGGAGATGTTGAGGAATTCCAGTTACCCACTGTCAACTCTACCATGCCTTCCTCAACATGACAGTCTGCACCCTCTCAAACTGCAAGCCTTCCAGCAAGTCCTTCCCCTTTTATGTTGCTTCTGTCAGCTATTTTGTCACACTGAAAAGTAACTAATTCAAATGCTGAGTGAACAGTCAGCACAGCCCCCCCCTCACAGAATGTGAGCTAAAGCAGCCCATGCAGATAGACAAATGGAGGCAGTGCTCAGGCCTTCATCTGACCACTCATCTATAATTGGAAATTTTCCTGTGAAAGCACCTTTTTTTTGACCAAATTATTTTTTAGCTAAACTTTTTATAAAAATCATGAAAAGATTGTTAAGAGCCAGGGGTAGGTAGTACATGAACGTTAGGAAACAGAGTCCTCTAGGCTCCTGGGAACTTGCTCATATGAACTTAGAGCAATGGTGACAGCATAAACAAGACCCATGCAAACTCAATCAGACAACAGCCAGCACAGAACCGGGGAAATGGGCAGGAAGCCCCCACCTTAGCTGAGGAACTATTGGCAGTTGATCACTGCTGGGTGAGAGAGAGTCGATCTTTTTTCTTTATTATTTTCATTTTATGTGTATGAGTGTATTGCCTGCATGTATGTGAGTGCGCCCGTGTCATGCAATGCCATGGAGGTCAGAAGAGGGCTTTGGATTCCCCTGGAACTGGAGTTAAGGACGGTTTGCAGCCACCATATGGGTGCTGGGAATCGAACCCAGGTCCTCTGCAAGAGCAGTCAGTGCTCTTAACCACTCAGCCATCTCTCCAGCCCCGAGAGAGTTGATCTTTAAGAGAGTGATGCTAGATAGACTGACCAGGCCTCAGTGGATCAACTCACATGGAGGGGCATCTGGGTATACAAATTTGACTCTACAGGTTTTAACATATGACAGAATTCATAGAAATCCTGTGGGTAGGCTATGGTGGGGTGCAGATAGGGGAGAAGGTGTAAGCATGATTAAGACATATAAGATGCAAAAAATGAAAAAGTATACATTGGAAGAAAAAGATTACTAAAAATCAGTGCATATTGCTGGCCTACACATTCAGGCATGGAAAATTACATTTTAGATTCATTTAGGATACTTTTAAATATAATGAAATACTCATGTAACTAGGGCAAAATCTGAGGCTTAAACTGACTGCAACAGTGTTTTACCACACTTTGTTATATCTTCCTAGAGAGTCTCTAAAGAACTTGCTAAAATTGAGACAATTAAGGTTTAATTCTCCTTTTAAAACATATAGTCAAGACAGAGCACTGCCAAAACAAAAATTCTTGAATAATACCATTTACATGCTAATTAATACAAGAGGCAGGAAAAATTATTTTGCTACTCATCACTAGAATCACTCTTAGGTATATTAAGGCCATTTCTCTTAATAAACAGATTAAGCTGCTTATTTCTACTATATAGTGTGTGAAACCAATACTTTTGACATGGTCTGGGATACACTCTCTGTGGTTTCAAACAATAAAAAGATGATTCAATTATGTACTAACACAGTCAATCGGCTTCTGAGAAAGGCTTCGGATGAAAGAACTGGAATGACTGCACTTCAAAACATGACATTTGCTACAAGTGGACTTTGCTGTTCATTCTTCCTGCCTCATTTCCTGTTTCCTGAGCTATGTTTGGGACCAGAGCATGCATTTACGAGACAGTCATTTGCAGAGAGAAGTAGCTTGGACATGGAAATTGGGTTTTTTTTTTTTTTTTCTTTTATTTGGATACTGAATGGTCTATCGGACAGGGGAATCAAATATAAACCTGATCCTCTGCAAACACAATGCATTAACAGTACATTAATGACTAACATGAAAACGGCACCCACGGGCTAAGCGTGTAGCTCAGTTGGTAGAATGCCTGCCTAGCCTACCTGATGCCAGGGGTTTGAGCCCCAAAACTACATAAAATTAGGCATGGTGGCACATGCCTGGTATCTCAGCTCTTGGGAGGTCCAGGATCAAAAATCCAAGGTTACCCCTGAATTTCAGGCTAGCCTGGGATACATGAGACCCTACCTCAAACAAACAGTTTCTACATCTACAGTAAGATGACATGGTTAATAACTTTCTAACCAGCAGCATTTTGTTTATAGAAAGAACCTGGCCCAGACCTCCTAGGAGTACAGAAATGAGGGCGGTTGTTTTCAGAGTTGAGTAAAGGCACACAGAGCTAAGGAGGACAGGGAACTTTTCAGGTAGCAACTATTGTAAGAGGAAGAGGTTGCTCCAGGTTTGAAAATGAGCCACAGAAACTTCCCTGTCACTGACAATGAGGGTGTGACTCCGTCTTTCCTGTCTGTACATATGTCAAGGTGCCCTCAAGCTGGTAACATGAAAAAATAAACAGTGAACTAGGTCATGAGTAAATACCTACAAACAAATAGATTGTTAAAATATAAGAGCCCACAAATACTCCCAATAGACTCGAGAAAGAACAAAGTGGGGATATCATACTTCTTGACTTCCAAATATATTACAAAGCTATAGTCATTAAAATACTATGGTAATGTCGTTCAAAACAGACTCATACACTGGGGAAACAGAGGCTGGAAATAAACTTAGACATACAGCCAAACCGATCTTTGCCAAGGGTACCTGGAAACAGGGAAAGTACAGGCTCTTCAATAAATAGTGCTGGAAAAAGTGGATATCCATGTACAAAAGAATGAAATAAGACCTTATCTCACATCCTGCCCCCGCCCAAAATCAACACACAGGCTGCTGAGATGGCTCAGTGAGTAAAGGCACTTGCCACCAAGCCTGACAACTTGAGTTCAATCATAAGACTCAAGGAGTGAAAGTGAGAACTGACGCCTACAAATTAGCCTCTGACCTAAATATACACGCACGCACACACACTTGCACACGCACGCACGCACACAGGGATAGGTCAATCAATCAATGTAATTTCAAAATTTTTAAATAGATACAAGTGAGCTGAAGATTTAAATTTAAGGCCTGAATCTATAAACTTCTCTAGAGAAAATATAAGGAACAGCTTTATGTCACTGAGCCTAGGTATGACAAGAACACAAGTAGTAAGAGCAAAAACAGACACAGGGTATCACAGCACGCTAAACAGCACAGCATAGCCTAGGAAGACAGTGCAGAGGGATAAAACACCTGAGATAATGCCTGACAGTTATTCCGAGTCCATAAGGAGCTCCTACAACTCAACAGAAAAACACATGCCTGATTTTTAAGATGGGGTTTCTCCAAAGACAACACACAGATGGCCATGAAATGTAGAAAAGGTGTGGGAAACCACAAACAACAGCCCCGGTAGGACACAATGGCCTACTTTTGGGGTGGCTATTATGGAAAATCATGTGCGTGTAGGAGTTTCTACGTGGAGGCCTGAGGTCATCAAATGTCTTCCTCAATCAGTCTCCACCTGTTTTTTTGAGACAGGGTCTCTCACTGAACCTAGAGCTCACCAATTGGTTAAACTGGCTGGCCATTGAGCCTCAGGGATTCTCCTGTCTCTGTCCCCACCTCCCATCCCCCCAGACATGTGCCACCACACCTGGCTTTTTACATGGGTACTGGAGATCTGAACTCAGGTCCTCATGTTTGCCAGGTAGGCACAGCAGACGCTCCTGAGCCATCTCTCCGGCCCACATAAATTATCACTTAAAAATGCAAAACAGGTCAAGACCCCAAACTACAGGAAACACAACTACAGTAATTTGCTGCTGCTTTAAGTAGTATCTTATTTTTGTGCTTGGTAGTAGCAGAAGCTGCTGCCTACTGAAAGGACATACGATGCACATTATTTCAGCACTTAGGACTTCAGCCCTGAGGTTCAAGTCTCTCAATCTAGCATCAGCTGCTTCGCATCCTGTTCTTTATCGTCCTCCCAGCCCCACTTGCAGCTTGCCGCCTAATGGCAGCTTCTCACACACTTCAGGAGCGGTCCTAGTGCCTTGATCAAAGGGACAGTTTCTATTTTCACTTTAGTTTCCCTCACAGGACAAAAAAAGGGGGAAGGTGGCCAGAAAAAAAAAAGAAAAAGCATGATGTATTTCTTAAAATACATGTTATTTGTGTTTGGGGATGCAGTATTTTATTGATTTAGTCCCTTGACCTATCAGCCACATCCTTTTCAAGCTGGTCAATCGCTGAGGTGAATACAAACCTGTCCTGTGACACTCAGAGACCAACGCTTCAGACGGAACCAGGGCTGAGTTCCCTCTACGCCTTTTTAATGCTGTTGGCTGCAGGGACAAACACATGTATACTGGTGGTGGTAGTACTAGTGGTGTTTTTATTTTTTCTACCAACTTCCCATCACATATGACCAGCAAACTATACAAGAACAGGTTAGTAACAGGTGGAAATTCAAGAACTATTTTTAAATAAAACCAGAAAACTTCCAGTTAATAGATCTTTTTAAAAATGATTTCTTGGGCTGGAGAGATGGCTCAGCAGTTAAGAATCACTTGAATCCCAGCACCCACATGGCAGCTAACAACTGTCCGTAACTCCAGTTCCAGGGGATCTGACAGCTTCTTCTGTCCTCTGAGGGCACTGCACGACATGGGTCCACTTAACTACATACAGGCAATACACACGTACACATAAAAATATTAAATTAATAAATAAAAAAAGATTTCTTGATTAGTTTCAGAAGTAAGGGATTCCCAATGGAATGATTTGAAGTATCTGAAATTTCTCTAGTGCAACTTCCCAAGCACCTGGATCTGCCTCCATTTTGCTAAGATTTTGAGTTTATCATCCAAGAGTGAAATGAGACAAAAGGCCTTATACTGAATTCCGTGTCTGACACTAAATTTTTAGTGCAATTTTTAAACTACTTGGAAGAGTACAATGGCTCAGCAGGCACAGGCACCTGCTGCCCAGCCTGATGATCTGAGTCCAATTCCCAGGACCCACAGAATAGAAGAAGATAACCAATTCCTGCAAATTGTCCTATGATCATCACATGATTGCCATCACATGAGCATGCCACATACACACACACACACACAAAATAAATAAATAAATAAATAAATAAGTATAATTTTAAAAGGTACTCAGAAGTTCTCAGAAGTTTGCAAAAAGTAAAAGGGTTTCTCAAAAAGCAAGAAAAAAAAGGCAATGAAGGTAAAGGGATGGACTGCAATGGCCAGCCTGGGCTCAGCGTGGAGGTGGCCCCAGGGGCTGTGGGAAAGGCAGAAAAGTCACTGTTGTGAAAGGTTTGGTCAATGAACCGCTTGAAGACTGGCGTTTTCATCAACACTATGGTTTCTATGCCCCCCCCTTTTATTTTTTCTTTTCCTTTTCTTCAAGCTCTTGAAAGCTCCAGATCACATACTGGCCAGGCTCCTTTGACACTTACCTAGAACTGGCCTTCAACCGCCTTGAAATGCTATGACTTCCCCAAAAGTAGCACTGCATCACCATGAGCCATTCTA